CCATTAATGTTTCCTTATTTTAAAAGCAAACAGAAAAAACATCCAAAGCCTGGCAGATGTTGCATAGGATGAGAGATGTGTTGGCTGTGTATTGCAGTTCTTCAGATTCAGGAGCTGCACTCAATCCCATCACTGAAATTTATTTTCTGGGTTTTTGACAGCTGTTTTTGCCATTTATTTTAAAAGCAGATGGGGAAAATGCAAAGAAGAGCTGTCAATTTTATTACCATGTATAATCAGCATCTGTGCCATACATCAGACTCATTGCACAGCTTACACTTCCTCTCTGTAGTAAAATTCTTTTGGGATTTCTTGGTGATCTTCTTGAAAGACTTTTTGTAAAGTAAAAGATACTGGAACTAAAAATGTAGATTAATTAACTGCTAAAGCCACTATTGTATTGTCCACATTTACTTAATCAAGATGTTATGTTCTGATTGCTTAATTATAAAATATACAGCTAATTTGCTTATTCATATTCAAATTCTTGTTTTCGTAAGCAATATGTTTTGGTTCATTTATTATTACAAAATACTTGTTAATGTCTCTCATCCATTTACATGCACTTAGGTACAGAACAACTCTGTGCAGTTTTTTTTTACCATTTTCTACTGAGCAGGCTTAGTATCTTGTACCCCATCTGCATGATTTAAAGTAAAAATGATTCTGTAGAGAACAGGGTGTTCGTAATTCCCAGTCTACCCTCTTTCCTGGTGCAGCAGTCTTTCACAGAAATGGCTTTTATAGTGGGGAAAATAAGCTAGTCTAAAAGTGTCAGTATAAATAAGCATGTTGTCTGTCTCTGTAAGTGCGGAAGTAGTAATCAGTAATGGTGTGCTGCAGGCTTATAGTAGAGAACAGCATCCTCCTGGAAAGTGTCAAGTGATTTACATGTCACAAGGCTCTCAGGGGACCGTGTGGGAAGAATCTGTCTACTGGCTGGGGACCTACTTTGATTTGATTTGATTAGGTTGGAAGTCACAACTGCAGAAGCACCTTTGTTTCTTAGAATAGTAAATGGTTGTACATTGCAGTGTCTGCAGTGATAAGCAGAGGGGAAAGATTCCAAATGAGAAATGTTCACAGTACATTTCCTAGATAGGAGAGATTAGGGAATAGTCTTCAAAAAAGGTTTCAACCAGTTTGGCAGCATTAAAAGACAGTAAAACACTTATGTATCGATGCAGGACTTCTTTGAAGTGAACCACTAAAAGGAGCAGCAGACTTAATACTAAGAACATTAATTAGTGTTTGTGTGGTGATGGGCAGAGTACTTTTTGTACATGAGGCATTGCAAGCTTTGATGAAGTATATACTTAACTGTCTTCCTCCATTATCTTATCTTATTAAATATGCTACTAAAATTGACAGTGACTTTTGGAAAAGAAAAACCACCAAAGCACTGTTTATGATACATAGATGTTAATTTAAAAGATAGAATGACTTCTGGGATGACTTTAAAAGGACATGTTGTGCGCAAGATTTAATACAAGTTTCATGGAAAAATACTGACATGAGCCTTTTGTTCTTTGGTGATATAATGGTACTTCTTGCCATGTCATTTGCAAGCACTTAATAGCTGACTTTTTCAGCAATAGATAACTGCAAACCATCCTATTCCAGAATTAAAAATGTTTCATTTAATATGAGGCATTAATATAAACGAGTTTTTAATTACCATGAGTTTTATCAGTGGAATGCAAATTTCCTTTAGATATTAGTCTATCTGTACTTCCTGACCCTGGAATATATCTAATTAGATTTTCCCTGGAATAGTGGATGCAAATTTGCACTCTGTGAAATTCAGCTGATTCTATGAAGATAAAGCAGAAGATTAGAGGATAATAAAGCTGGAAAATGTGAATTTGATTTACTTTCTTTACAGACAAAGTGGGGTATAAAAGATTTTTCTTCTGTATTTATATAATCTTATTTTTCCTTTCTTATGCTAATCTCATTTTCTAAAATGTGATGTATTTCAGTGTGTAACTCACTTTGGCGTGAGTTAAGAAAAGACATATTTAGATGATCATACTATAAAAAATCCTTTATCCAGAAGAGCTTGTAAATTCATCCCAGCACTGAACAGTCTGTCTACTAGACTGTAAATTTTTTACTGAAAGGAAATGTTAGGTAAAGTTGACATGAAGTTCATTTTCATATCTACCAGTGAATTGGTAACTTCCTCTACTAGAACTGCTAGAAAATTAGCTTGTAGAAATACACTGTAGCAGGACTTCTTCAGGTTTTGCCTCATGTAATTTGTAGAGAAATTGGACACAGTAAATTAAATGTGCTATTCCATCTTCTCGTAAAAGCCGCCTCCTTGTATCCTGTAAGGTACTTAGGTACTTCAGTTTATAGAATTAATATATATTTTTAATTAAGAGAGTAAACTTTGTGTCTTCATACTTTGGAAAATACTTTGTGTCTTAATTTAATGCTAGACCTTGCATTACACATCTTATTGTATTTAGTTAAGGTAATTATATATTTAAAGATATGTGAATGTAGACTGGAACACTCCAGCACCAGATTAAAAATCTCTACATCATGGACTGATAAGCAGAATTTATAAATGATGCTTGTGATAGCCTCATGTGGGAGCATTGCTGCTGCAGTATCTCTTTTTTCCCATATACTCAGAGGCATTTTGCCCCAGTCTCCAGCAATCCAAGCCCTTTTCTTTAATATGGCCTAATCCTTCCCTGTCCTTTTTACCAACCACCATCCCCTTTCCAGTCCTCTGGTTACACCCTGTGTGTTTTACTGTGCAAGTCTTTGGCTCGTTTTCAAAGCTCCACATCTGATAAATGTTTGGTCAGGTTATCCCTAGTGGTTAGGCAGTTGACTGCTGCCAAATAGTGTGTGTAACAGGAATGGATGGATGGCAGTCATGTTCTTCAGGGCTGGGTTAATTTGGTTTCCCAACTCCTTCCAATTGCTGAAGTGAGAAAGTTTTATTATCTGGAGGTTTTACCTCTCTTTGATTTAGCCACTTGCATAGAAAACTGTCTAGAAAATAGACATGCATAATCTTTATTTCCTGGGAAAACTAAGCTAAAATTGTAGGGTAAGAACAGAAAACACTTGGATTTGGCCTAACTTGTTAACTTCAGCAAGTTTTTATCTATTCTGATGTTTGCCTTCTGCATCTACCTAGGTTTACTGACGACCAGCGACCTTGCTGCTTTGTAACCTGGTCAGCATCCTGGTCTGGTGCAAAATATTTTTCATGGGTCCAAAAGGCTCAGCCAAGACAAAGGAAGAGTATGAAAGAGTATCATGTTTATGGAAAAAGTTATCAGTCTTGTGCCATGGGATTCACTTCAGTGTGTAAATTTTACCTGAAGTCTATAGCAAGGTGGCAACATTTTCCTAGTTCAGTAGCTTTTTTAAAAAAGGACTCTGTGTAAAACAGCTTTGAAGAAGTGAGATTTTGTGTGTAAGGAAGTTTTTTCTGGAGCTTTTGGGTTTTTTTTCTTGGCTTCTTTGTAACCTATTTAACAGCAAATTCTGCTAAAGTAAAGTATGATTAGACTAAAGAGATTTTTGGCATTAAATATATAAGTGTCTCTATCTGAACAAAAAGACTACATGAAATCAGTGAAAAAATCTTCAGTTCAGCTATATCATGATCTCTTCAGAAACTTTACAAAAAAAACATTTTTTGTTAGGATATTTTCTTGGAAAACTTACTCAAAGTATATGAACTTATTAGTTACGCTGCACACACAGACAAGTATGTTTCTATCAGTGCAAAAGTGAAATAGAAAACAGTTAATAGGACAAGGGTAAAAAAGAAAGAAATAGGCCAATTTTCTTCCATCTAGATTTAAAAAGGCTCTTTCACCTTAGATTTTGAGTCAATGTCCTTGTCATTTAAAATAGTGCAGTAAATTTAGAGATTTTTGATTCATTTTATTAAAATAGATTTTTGGTATTGAATGTACATAGATCATACTACAACTTCATGAAAGGGGGAAGTAGAAAGCTTATTAGATAAAAATGATATATAGTTTGATATCTTGCCTTTTACTATTGTACTTTTTGGTATAATAGTTTTTTACCTTATGGCTACATAACAGAAATTTTTGCACTGAGAAAACCATGATACACTGTAGTATGTAAAGAAGTTGCTTCTATTTTAAATGTGCTTACTCCTGAGTCTCTTTTGGCTTATTGGCATGTGGTCCAAAGGTCTGTATCAGCATAGATTTCCCGTACACAAAGCTCTGCATGTTCAAAACCTTCTTGGAAAACAGTTTCTATCAGCAGATTCACACTTGCAGTATGGGAAGTTTCAATCATAGTCACTATACATTCAAAGCAAGCGTGGCCATTAACATTAACCCCCATTTTAGATTAAAATACTTGTTTAAAGAAGTTAGAAATGTAGCTGTGCAATCTTTATAGTACATCTTAAAGAAAATGTTTTACCTACTGTATCTAAAGAAATTATTTGTACATATTTTAAAATATGGCATTTGCCTTACTGCAGGTAGAACTGTATGCTATACATTCTGTGGGAACATTCATCTCCCCTTTCCTGTGGTTTGCATATTTCAATTCTCTCAATGAAGTCTTTAGACATTTATAAATAAACTGACTATGCAAATTGCTATATGTGTATAATACATTGGGAATCACTTAATACCAAGTCAGGTTTGAAATTTTAATTACAATTCTATCTTAAATTGTAGAAAAATCTTGTGTGCTCTGAAAATAAGTTTTCTTTCGATACAAAATCAAGATTGGGTGCTAATTTACCTTATTCTCTATAGATTAAAGGGTTTGACAGATTTTTTTCATTATGAAAGAATGAAAGAAATGAAAGAAATGAAAGAAATATTATACTGTTATGATACTGAAATAATATACTGAAAAAGAAAGCAAAAGTAGCCTTCTTTGTTGAAGTCTATCCCTTCTAGTTTCTTGTGACTTCAGATTCCTGTTTGGCCTAGGTTTTGTATTTTTACATTAATCCTGTTCTTTTGCAGACGGTTAGAACAAAATTCAATCAAGGTCATACCTCCTGGAGCTTTCTCCCCTTATAAAAAGCTTCGAAGAATGTATGTACCAAATAATTTAAATTTTTTATTTTCACATATATGTATGCACACATATACATAATATATCTACATAAAAAGAAAAAAATCAAGTCAAGTTGAGACAGGGAAAATACAGTCAATGTGTAAGCACTTAAGGAAGTTTGACTGCTAGAAGGTTAACTGATATGATAGCCTGATTATTAAGAATATATTTGTCATATTAATAAAAATTGGGTTTTTACCAAATATTGAAATTGTTTAATATGGTTCTGCATAAAAGCAATATACTGCTGCAGTGAAAATTCTATTAAAAAATAAATAATGAGGATAATTACAGATTATTTTAAGGTTACATAGTCCCATAGCCATAGCAAGCAGAGAATTCTTTATAAAATGTACTTAAACAACTAGGAAAAGCATTTTTTGTTTCAAGCATTTGAAAGGTCTGTTTTTAACCATTCATTTTGTTTCGGTGCACTGGCAATTTTAGTGGGTTTATATTAAAATTCTTTGGCAGTGTCTCAAGTAAAAATTTTAATTTTACTCTCCCATCCATGCTTAATTCTAATTACATATTATCTTAATGTTTGGTTTTTTTGAAAAAAGCTTGAATTAATTAAATCAATTTTCATTTATTTCAGTGACCTGAGTAATAACCAGATCTCTGAAGCAGCTCCAGATGCTTTCCAGGGCTTACGTTCGCTCAATTCACTGTAGGTATCTCTTTGACCTGTAAACAGAAGGAAATTTCTCCTTGTTCTTAAAGTGAAATTATTTTGGCTTTTTGTCTCCCTGCAAAGCTTTTCTATTAATTCAATCAATTCTGAAACTTGTAAAAATCATTTCAGAATGTTAGTGATAGCTGAATATTGTTACAGCTTGACACTAGTAATGTATAGGGTTTTTATAAATATGTCATTTATAGTACAGCATAGAGCTGAACAAAACCAAACATGTCTTTAATTCCTCTGTTAGTTGTTCTTGCAAACGGCAAATCCACTTACCAAGGTCCCTCGGTGAGGCTGTAAGCAGTGAGGTGCTGATTCTGCAGAGAGCCCTTTGGGCTCTACACCTTTTGGGAAAATGTGTGATCCAGTTGCCTCACAGGATCACAAGGATGTTGCAAGTATTAAGCAGTTGGCATTAAAATCCTTTCAGGAAAATGAGAATTACTTTATTCTTGAAGTCAAAAGCCCATAGCATATGCCTTTCATTATGGTGGTTTTGTTTGTTTTTTTTCCTGGTACAGAGTCCTCTATGGCAATAAAATTACAGAACTTCCGAAGGGCCTATTTGAAGGACTCTTTTCTCTCCAGTTGCTGTGAGTATTTTTTTTTAATATTTATTCTATTTTGGGACCATTCAAAAGGGTAGACATGATGAGAGATTTACACCTGAAGAAGAACTGACAGGAAATCCTATGTGTAAGATCAAAGTATAGTAAAATCAAATTCTGTTAAAGCCAAAGGAGTTAAGACCGTTGTAGGCCAGCTTGCCATTCCCCCACAGATGTGATCATATTAGTTAATGTCACAGCCTAAAATGATTAAAATTAAATTATTCTCTTGTGTGGAACTTCTAAGGATAAAACCCGTAAGATACGATACTGTCTTGCCTTCTAAAGAACAAACAGCTTGTATAAAGATGTGTGCGAACCATAGAAGGAGTATTTGTGTATTTTATAAAGAGAAGATATGTGGTAGAAATGCAGTGTAATTGTATTTCTGGTTGTACCCGTGAAGAAGAGCATTGCACCATAATTTCATTGGTGACTTAATGTTTTCTGACACTGCGGTTCTTTGACTCCGAACTCTAGCTGCTGCTTCCTTTAGGACTTTGGAAATTTCCATGTGTAATCTTATAAACCATTGCTCTTTAGATTTAATACTGGAATAAAGAATATCATGGTGATGTGTTTATCAAATATTGTCAAAAATTAGCAGAAGAGGCTGTGTAGTAGTTGTACTGTGTAAAATAAATTTGTGAAATAGACTGTAAAACAATAGCGGTGTTTTTGGAAGAACTTGTCCCAGACAAACTGACTTGTTGAGTTAAAGAGTATACTTAAAGAATTTAAAACTTCTTCCCACTTGTTTAGAATTATTTAATGGCAAGACTTCACAGTGCAGTGGTTGGCAAAATGTCTCTTATTAACAACAAATTGAAGATGGCAAAACAGTAAATAGATACTTAAAAAATGCAATTTCTAGCACCACCTAGAGGTTTGTATTTTGATTTATTTTAGTCACAAAGTAGTATAGTATTGGGCAGGGAGGGTATGATTTCTTTTTTCCTTTAAAGATGTTTTAGTTATAAAATATATTTCTAATTTGGTCTAAAACAAAACAAAACAAAACAAAACCAGAAAAAAAAAAAAAGAAAAAAAAAAAAAGGAGGGGGGAAAGAGACCTTTCCAAACTATTCTCTATTAAAAAAATGTCCATGGTTTAATATACATTGCATCGACAGTACATTTCAGTCTAAGTAAATTTCTAGATTGTGACGAAACTTCTTTTCAAAGCACTGTGGTTCAAATTCACCATTTCTGGCTCAAAATGGTAAAAAGTAAAAAATTTTTGGTTATAAAAATGCGTGGGGTTGAATGACTTTTTTTTCATTTCAAAAGGAGTTGGTTTAGATTGCCTTGTTTGTTTTGTCACTAAAAGTCTGGGAGGTACAAGGAAGAAAAGGTTCCCTTTGAAGATGGAGAGGAAAAAGGATCCAAGACAGATTTGGATATATTCCATACCACCAGTTTTTACTACAACTCTGTTAATGCGGCAGCATGCTGATTAGTAACATATAATTAAAAGTGCCACTGCACATCTCTTCCAGCTCATGAACACAGTGTTCCTTTTTTGTTTGTTTATTTGTTTGGCAAAAGGAACTAGTTTTCCTTGCATATACTTGATTTTTTAGGCTTGTTTCTCTGCACAGATGCCACACACACACACCTTCTACCAGCACATAGAAGAAATGTGCTTTTAGCTGAATAAATGTACACATTTCAACTCCAAGGTGGACACATATAGGAATATGTATCACTTAGATAAGACATTTCAATTCACCGAAATGCCTTATGTCACTATCAATTATTATTTGTTACTACATCTCCTGGTAACAAAGGTGCAGAAAGACTTATCTGTAAAAAATGCTGAAGCTGTAACGTGGAGCAAATTCTTTCAATTTTATAATTGTCTTCCATTAAACAGATTACTGAATGCCAACAAGATCAATTGCTTGCGAGTTGATGCATTTCAGGATCTGCACAACTTGAATCTGCTTTCTTTGTATGACAACAAGCTTCAGACCATCGCCAAAGGCACTTTCTCACCCCTACGTGCGATTCAGACCTTGTACGTATGCTCTTGTTTATGGTTGTCTTTAGAACGACTTCATATTCTAACACGCAGTAAAAGCACTGGGTACTACTAAGACCAAAGGGAAATAATGTGTGAAATTATTGGTTTTTTTCTTCATGAAAGGCATTTGGCTCAGAACCCATTTATCTGTGACTGCCATCTGAAGTGGCTGGCGGATTATCTTCATACAAACCCCATTGAGACCAGCGGTGCCCGTTGCACCAGCCCCCGCCGTCTGGCGAACAAAAGGATCGGCCAGATCAAAAGCAAGAAATTCCGCTGCTCAGGTAATTTTCTTAGTTCAGCTGCTATTTTTCCTTTATTGGTAAAAAAAAAGAAAAAAAAGGTGATTATATAAGTTCTAATGAAGCCAGCTGGCTCTTTATGGAATTATTAAACATCGCAGAATCTTTTTTAGTTCTTTGACTAAAGGGAGGGAAATCATGGAAGTCATAGACTATTGGGTCACGGAACATTACTGTAGTTAACACATTTGGCACTATTCCTGAGTAGCATTAAATCTAACAAAATAAAGGCAATATATAAAACTTGAGAATGAAATGCTAAAGTTATTTACTACAAGTATCACCAACATAAATCATTTTGTAAAATTTCCACAATGCTCTGGAATATGTGAAAGATCTAAAAATTCCTAAACTAAATATGGAAACATGACATATTCATTTTATACAGGGAGCTTGCCTCATACTGAAATTTACTGTTTTCTTTTTCTAATCTTATTCCATTTCCTACTTACATTTCTTTAAATCCTAACTTTTGTCATATGGTATCCAGCTGTTCCAGGTGCATTTCACATTCTACGATTTATTCAGTCTCAAGTGCAAATACCAGATGAAAACTGTTTCTTATCCATGTTCCGGATACATTTATGACTATTCACACTTTGTTGTTTATCAGTTCTCATTGTAAATACACCTTTTTTCACTTAATTATCTGTAGTTAACTGCAGTCCATACTTAATCTAATAAAACTCATTCTTTGCTTGCTGACATTCAGGTGCATCTTCTATTTTTTTTTTTTTCTCTTTATTTAGCTAAAGAACAGTATTTCATTCCAGGTAGGTTTGGCTCTGCAGTAAGATTGACTAACTGCAGATATTCTCTCCCTTTACCCCTAAAAGCAAAGTCTGTTATACCTTTTAGGAAACTGATGCATGTGTATTAACATTAGTCGATACCTGTAGCTACACGTAGTTTTCCTTTGTAGAATACTAGTAGTTCTGTTTTCTGAATATAAGAGCTTAGCATGCAGCTCCATTTACCTTTTTTTGTTCTCACAAATTTGCACACAGCCTACCAAAATTATACCTATACTTGAATTACTTAGAAGATTGCACCTGCTAGTTCATATATTAATTGATACCTTTACTTGCCTTGTACCTTGCCTTTCTACCGCTACTGTTTTTAAAATGTAGCTCCTGAGCTGCTTTTAAACACAGGAAACCATGCTGCCATCAAAGAGCTAGCACAACTCTAAAAAACCAAACATTTTACAAATGAACATTTTCTTGCCTTGCTTTCATGCTCTACACTGGCTGAGGCTACTGCTTGCTCACCCTCTTGTGTTTAGGAACTCACAGTGGAATGCTTGGAAAAGAAAGCTGATATTCTTAATTAGATGCATTCTGTGGTCACATGCATAGAGTGAATCAGAAATGCTTTCCCTTAAAGAAAATACGACTTTAGAGTTATGATGAAACAGTAATATTTACACACTGCTTTAAGCTACAGTAAGTCTGTGATATTTTTACAAAAGATTTACTGATGTTGGCCCTAGCTCAAAATGTATCTTTCTTTATTTTACCCTGCTTGTCAGTGGGTTCACTGATTTCTTAATGGAAAAAAAAAATCACTTCTATTATATTCATAGAAGATTATAAATGATTGACAAAATAAACAAGGAAATAACATCTATTGATGAATTACAGGGTGTGATTTGCAATCAGGGTTTTCTACCATAGTTTATGATCTAGAAGGATTTCTACAATAATTGATTATGATGCCAGTGCACTTGTTCTTTCAAGTACTACCAGGCATATGGTTATTCTGCTGTCATCTTAGTCGTTGTCTCTTTAGCTGGTAGGTTTAACAAATGCTGTGTGATGTATCACTTAAATTTTCAGCAATCATGTGAAGTTCTTCATGCCCTTATACTAATATGTTGGTTTGAATATGAAGAAAAGACAAAATGAAATATAAAATAAGGCAGCAATTTGTCAGCACTGGCAGCCGTGAAAATTTGTTTTAAAGCAGCATAAAACAGAGGGGGATTCAATTTCTCAAACCTGTAGTACCACTCAATTCTTTAATGAGTAGAACAGCTGTATTCCTGCCACAGAGTGACTTCTACTCAACCTTGCCAGCACAACTTTTGTCTGCATTGGAAGTGTTTTCTTGTCAGCAAATGTCTTCGCATGCTGTTTATATTATGGCCACACATGCTATTTAGGTTTATTTAAGTACCCGTTAAGATATGCTGTTCCTTAGGGGAAGAAAAAAAAAAAAGAAAGAAAAAGAATTAAATTAATCAAAAAGCACTTCTTGAAATACAGCTTTTTTACTTTCTCTTTCAGTCAGATGATCAGGAAGATGCTGCCTAAAAGTATTTTAGTTGTTGAAGGCCTTATCCCTGGAAATTTTAGTTGTTTGCTTCAAACTGCTAACTGGTGCACTCTGGGCGTAGGAGGAAAAAAACTGTATTTTATAGCCTTGTTTACTGAGTATTTCAAAGTGCTAGAAACACTGTACTTAAATAAATAGGATCAAATAATCTTAGCATTTCTTCAAAAGTGTAAATTTTTTTTTTTAAATATTTTATTGAGAGATCTTGCTCTGGAGGCACTATGAAGTCTTAGTTATAGTCATTTGGAAGAATAAAGGTTATAGAAGTATTAAATCATTTGTTTGGAAAAATATCTGCTAGTTCATAAAAATACTCTATATTAGCTTTATCATGTGTATTGCTAAGAGAGTTACAAGTGCTAGAAAACGTAATATGTGATGGCTGTTGATGGTGTTGATTACTCCCCTGAGTAATCTGTTTCTCCTATGTTTGATTTAGTAAGGATTTAAGTGGCATAGCATGTATATATGTTAAAGGAGCTACTTTCAAAGAATACATTCAAAATACTAAAGAATAATTCATGGGAGGCATCATCATCCTATATAAAATCTGTAATAAACCCCAATCTTATCTCCATTTTTAAATGCCACTAAAATCAATTATTTTTTCTCTCTGCTGAAGACCATACTCCTTAGTATGTTCTTCTAATCAAACTAAAGATGAATAGAGAACATGAGAGCTTAGTTCATGTTTTTGTCTTAATTGGGATTACTCTGTCTTTCTTTCCTTCTTGGCTATCTTTACTTTTGCAGGAGTTCACCATTTTGGCTGTAAGTAAAGTTCAGTGTCTGAGCTAAATCACAGTGTACCTCCCAGCCCCGATGCACCTTCTACTAGTCTCAGTCTTTTCACCTTTGTCCAAGAAGAACCCACAGGTCCTTTCAGCTTCTCTTTGTTTTCTTTGTCACCCACCCTCAGTTCCTTACTGGATGTTTTTTCCTGATATGTTTAGGATGTTTTCTTTGAGTGACTCTGGGAAATGGTGGAGGAAACTTTCAATGTGGTTCTCTTTT